CTGCTGATGGATCAGGAAAAGAGTAAGAACCAATGAACGAAGACTGAGGGGCGCCCTGTAGGGTAGGAGGAAAACCAAAAGAACGCGTTGTCCTGGAAGCTAAGTGAAAAAGTGTATCAAAGAGGAGGAAATAATCAACTAAGTCTAATGCTTCTGAGAAGTCAAGTGAGATGGATTTACTATTGGATTTTACAACATAGAGGTTTTATTGAGGATCTTGATCAGAGAAATTTCAGTAGAATGACAGAGGTACAAATCTAGTTAAAGTGTATTTTTAAATAGAAGGAGAGAAATTGGAGACAGGTATTATTCATGGAATTTTGCCATAAAAGGGAGGGTTTTTTTCAGTGTTCCCCACTGCTTCCACCACATGCTTAATTTAAAAATTAATTATGTTTCTCAACTTTATCCAGTCTTTCCTGAGCTGAGATTCTCATCACTTCTTGATTACATTATGTCATAGATATATGTCCTATTGAGTCTTGATGACATGCTAATAAAAATTCTACATTTTTCTTTTTTACTGAAGCAAATCATTTCAGAAAGAGCTATCTTTTCTTCTTCTTTGATGTTGCCCCCTATCTTTATAATATATGCATTTAGGGGTATACATTTTCCTCTAAAATGTTATATCTCCATTAACACTCAGTTTATTACAGAAGGAAGTCCGCTCTATTCCATTATTGAATTTATCAAATAGGAAATCATATGGATTCTGCCAGAGACTGAGAGGTCCACTTATATATCTTCAGTTCTGGAAGAGTTTATATTTATTGATTAGATATAGTACAAATACAGAGATTCAGTTGACTGAAGAGAGTGAATTCATAATAAATCCTGACAGTTTTATGTCTAAGTCATTCCTTCTTTGAATTTGGTAAACACAAACGCAGTACTCTTGCAGTACCCAGTCTTCGTTTGGCCAGATCACCAGCACCCAGAGCTAAGTCATGGCACTCCAGGCATCATTTCTCTTTCTTTGGAGCATACTTCACCTGCACAGGTTGTTTACATTAGCTATCTATAACCATTTCTTTCAGTGCCTTTGATGGATTCTAATTATTGAGCAACCATAGCAGCAAAAATAAATCAAATTATTGAAGCTGAGTGATGAGTTTAAGAAGTTCCTTATACTATTCTCTCTCTTTTGGGGGATATTGTAATTTTAAAAAATGAAGTCCAAGAGTATACTCTCTCAACTATCACTGGTCCTCTAGATCCCATGCCCATAGATTTCCTTAGTGACATAATTCTAATTACTACCCTCTTTCTAACCTTCATCAAAATATAGTCACTATTCATTACTTTTACTTCCTCACCTGTATACTTCTTGAACTACTAAAATCTGGCTTCTACTCTCACCATACCAATGAAATTGTTATTTCCAAAGCCATCAGTCCTTATTGTACTTGACTTCTTTCCTATTGATTATTCCCAGAGCCGTTAAACCCTCTCTCCATTGATTCATTGAGCAATTCAACACATGTTATCTGTGGCACTACTCTCTCCCTGTTTTATTCCTGATTTTCTGGCCATTCATGTTTGGTGTCCTACATGGGCTCCTCTTCCTCTGCCTAAATTTAAGTGGGCTCTTAAAGTATGCCATCCTTTGGTCTCTCCTCTTCTTACCACATACTTTATTTCTGAGCACTCTCATCTATAACTGTAGCTTCAACAAACAACTGATGATCGTCCTACTTTTAAATCTTCAGTGTAGGTATCTCTTCTGAATTCCATGCTCTTCTGCCCACTGGATATCCCCATTTGTTTTCCTCACAGATACTTCTAACTCAACTTGCCCACTGCAGATCCCATTCTCCTCCTGTGTTGCATGTTTTGGTCAGTAGTACTGCCATCATCCACTTACCTAAATAATAACCCAAAATATATCCTAATCTTCCACATCTCTGTTTTTGGTATCCAATAGTGAGAAGCTCTATCCATTCTACTCCCGAAGATTCTCTTGAATCTGCATGTTCATCGTACTGCTGCTCTTTAGTTCAGACTGTTTTTGCCTACCTCGAATTACTGCATTAGCTTCCTAACTTAGCTCCCTGCCTCAAGTTTCACTTTCCTTCACCCTGTCATCCTCCTGACTGCCTGTGTGATCTTTCAAAAACGCGGATTATGTCAGTTGCTTACATAAAATCTTCAATGGCCCTCTAACAATTCAATTCAAAAAACATTAAGCATCTACCAGTCACAAATCATTCGTGTCTCAGGAAATCTCTCAAAAGTGTTATTATTACAAACAAGGCCTCTAGTTTCGAACCACTTCTTCATACCTACCTGATATTCCAGTCATTCTAAACCATACTTGTGAATATGCCATGTTAGTCCCACAACCTGGATTACTACCCCCTTCTTTTACTTAGCCGATTTGTACTTATTCACCAAGACTCAGATTAATTAAGAATTAGGAGGCTTTCCTTATCTATCCCTAAGTATGGCTAGAAGTCCCTCTTCTGAAATCCTACAGTAAGTGTCCTGCCTCCATAGAAATATATTCTAATTGATGTTTTACTTTTCCTTCTCTAGTCCTAACTGTTAGTATATTAAAGGCAAGGACTATATTTTTCATACCTATTTACCAAACCAAACATAATGCGAGATACATAACAAGCATTCAGTGAATGTTTGTTGAATGGCTAGGAATGGCTTCTCCAGAGGCTGTAGGTAAGTTAATTTCATCTGGCAGCATTGCCAGATATCGTAACCATACTTACTCTCATTCATTATCTTTCAAGTCGAGCTTAATTTAATGAGTCCTTTAGTCATCTGTTTCCTTTTCCTTTCATAATAGACAATTCCTTTTTTAAAAAAGCTTTATTGTGTAAATTTCAAACATAAACAAAAGTAGAGAGAATAGAATAATGAACCCATTGGTGCCCATCACCCACCCTTAATCATTATCAGCATCCTGCTATTCTTGTTTCATATATATTCCCACCACTTCTTTTTTCTTTTGCTAAAGTATTTAAAGCCAATTCAGCAAATCATATCATTCTGCCTATAAATAGTTCAGTGTATATTTCTAACCAGATAAACATTTTTTAACAAAGCAGAGTATATTTCTTGCTTTTATTCTAAGTGTATTCTACTTTTTCTTATGCTGTCTACCTACCAATTTAGGCATTATAATTATAAGTAATCCTTCCACATCGTTTAAAACATCTACCAGTCTTCCTTCAGGCTTTACTCAGGGTTCTTTTTGTCCCCCTTTCTTCCTATGTATATTTAATTTTTTAAAATTGTGTTAAAATATACGTGACATATAATTTACCATCTTAACTATTTTTAAGTGTAAAGTTCAGCAGTGTTAAGTACATTCACATTGTTGTGCACACATCCTCTAGAATCTTTTCATCTTGTAAAACTGAAACTCCATACCCATTAAACAATGACTTCTCATTCCTCCCTCCTCCCCACCCCCTGACTGTTCTAGGTACCTCATATAAGTGGAATCAAATATTTGGAAGACAAATACAGAATTTGTCTTTTTGTAACCAGCTTATTTCACTTAACATAATGTCCACAAGCTTCATCTATATTGTTGCAGGTGTCAGAGTTTCCTTCCTTTTTGAGGCTGAATGATATTCCATTGTATGTATATGCTGCATTTTGTTTATCCATTCATCTATCGATGGGCACTTGGGTTGCTTCCACCTTTTGGAGATAGTGAGTAATCCTGCTGTGAACATGGATGTACAAATAACTCTTCAAGACTCTGCTTTCAATTCCTTTGAGCATATGCCCAGAAGTGGAATTGCTTGATCATATGGTAATTCTATTTTCAATTTTTTGAGGAACCGCTATACTGTTTTCTGTAGCAGCTGCACCATTTTACATTCCACCAACAGTGCACGAGCGTTCCAATTTCTCCACATCCTTCCAACACTTGTTATCTTATTTTTTTGATAGTAGCCATCCTAACATATGTGGAGTGGAATAAACACTTTTTTAATAGACTTTATTTGTCAGAGCAGTTTGATAAATACTTTTTAAAATGTTATTCTACTTTTATTATCAAAATTAACAAAATTAAAATTCTTTCATATTATCTAATAAAGAAGGGATTTCTAACATGCTCTTCCCATGGTTTTCCTCATATCTCCATCCTTCTATTTCTTCATATCAGAAACTTTGGAGCCACCACTGATTCCCCTCTTCTCTCACCCTCCCCTCATCTAATTCATTAGAAAATCCCAAAGTATATCCAGGATCACACCCCCCTCCCCAATTCCCAACTTCTTACCCTTCTGGCCATTGCTACCACTCTGGTCCAACCTACTATCCTCTCTCCTAGATTGTTTCAGTAGCCTTCCAAGAGATCTCCCTACTTGTCTACTCTTGCCCCTATTCAATCTATCCTCAACTCAGCAACCAGCATTATCCTATTAAAAGAAATCTCAGATGTGGCACCCCTCTGCTCAAAGCCTTCCAGTTGCTCCCCATTTCATGCTCAGTAAAAATCAAAGTCCTTAAATGGCCTAGGAGGCCATATGTGAACTGAGTCCAAATTACTGATCTGAGTTCTTATCTTCTTTTTTTCCCCTTAGTTCATTCTGCTTTAGCCCTTGGTGCCATCTTAGTGTTCCTTGAACACACTACCATGCTTCTCACTCAGGGCCTTTGCACTTACTATTCCCCTTGCCTAGAGTGCTCTTTCCTCTGATATCTGCTTGCCTCACTCCCTAACTCCTTTGATATGTCACAGGGAGGCCTTCTCTGAACACCGTTTTAAAAATGGAAATCAATCCCTCTCCCAAGAATTCACTATTCACCTCCTCAGCTCTATTTTAGCCTGTAAACTTTATCATTATCTAACATATCATGTATTTTACTTCTTTATTTGCTTATTTTCTTCCCCTGTAATTAAAGTGTAAGCTTCAGATGGGTAAGAATTTTTAAATAGAATCCTTGGCACATAATACTCAACAGATAATTGTTAAATCAATTCAGTCCGTATATCTATACATATCTTTGTGGTTGCTTCCCAGATATGTGCCACAACTTAAGAAGCAAAATGAAAGAATGTACATCTTTACAAAGAAAAAAGACTGGAGTAAATTGGACAGATGATGAAAAAAGAATCTACAGGGATAAAAGAATAGCTCAAACTCAAGAAATATTGCAGTATTTGCTCCCTATTGTGGAAAGGACTAAACCCGTGCAAACCACTGAGATAAAACAGATATCCAATCCAAGAACCAACTTCCAAATCCAACATAAGTAAGTCAATACAGTTTTGTCATTCTTAGCTATTTAATACATTTTTTTAGAAGGAAGCAAGATTTATTAATTAATTATCCTAAGAAACAAAATAGGCTCTTAAAAATGGTAACAGCTACTCCACATTTGATAAAGGACCAAAGCCATAAGAAAATGTTGGATATGTGAATGAGTATGTTATCAAGTCTTATTTGATTGTTTATTTGCATGCAACCACTCATTAATTTGGATCTATGAATAAAGTATGCATTGATAAAGTATGACCATAGCCTGACTTGAAATTTATCAGGTGTGTTTAAACCTTATAATCCTAGGGGACCACCAAAATTAGACATAATTAACTTGAGTTACTTCAACTTATTGATACTCAAAGGAAAGTAGAAAAGATGAGACCAGATTTCTTTTAAAGATAAAAAAATAGAACCATCATTAAAGCCAAAAAGAAACCTACATAAATAAAAGTAAGACAATGGCAAGCAGAAAATGATAAACATAATACTAATATTATCAACAAATGTTGATAAAGTACTTTCTATGTGCTAGACACTGTTCTATGTTTACACACACACACACACACACACACATTTTTATATTCTACACATGAGAAATTGAGGTACAAAGAGGTTAAGTAATTTGTCCAAGGTCACACAGCCAATAGGTAGCAGAACTGGATTCAACCCCAACTCAACATTCTGACTCCGGAGTCCTTCATCACTATGCTTTGACATTTCTCTTTATAATATAAATGAAAAATAGAGGGAAAATATACTTAATATTCAAAGATCACATACAAATCAATGACAAAATTATGAATATTTTAACAGGAAAATGGGCAAAGGCTGTGAACCAGAAATTCACAAAAGAAAAGAAACATGGCCAAAGAACATTTAAAAATGTTCAATCTCACTTAAATCCAAAGAGTGAAAATTAAAACAATAATGACATACTGTTCATTTTTGCCTCTCATTGGAAGAATTCATTCACACATTGTTGTAAGATAAACTGGTACAGAGTTTCTGGAAGGCAATCCAACAATGTGAATGAAAAATCCTTAATATCTACATTCATTTTGACTAAGAAATTCCACTTTTAGAAATTGATCCTAAGGAAAAAAAGCCTAGATAAGGCTAACAGATTTCTGAGTAATGTTCATTTCAGTATTTTTTATAAGAGCCAAAGAAAAAGAAATGAACCTAAACATCCAACAATAGAAAATTGCTTAAATAAATTATGGTAATCCATAAAATGAAATATTAAAAGTTATTAAATATTGTAAGTGTATATTAATTAACATGGAATGATGTTAACAATATATAAGTGAGTAAAAGCCCCAGAACAGTTTGATTTGGTATGGTTGCATTTATAGACTATCTATGTGTATTTAATGTGTGTGTATTATACACACTCAAACACATACATACCTAGAAAAAAATCTGGAAGCACATATTTACAGCGATGATTATCTCTGGATAAAGTATTGGCAGAAGATGATATTCCTCTTTATGCTTTTTTCCTAAATTTTTATTAATACGTTTTTGTTTACTGCATAATACCAAAGTCAATAAAATTACAAAAATAGGCAATTGGTGGCAGTTTCTAGTGGAATGGGGTAGCTATCATGCTGGGGAAGGCAGTGCCTAACAGAAATCAAATCTAATATGTCAGCTAATACAAGATAAGCAAATCAATAATATGGGCCCACACAAACAAGGGATCAAGTATGATAATATCAGCAAAATCAAGAAACTCATAACAAAATAGTTGTTCAATAGCATTTTGTTTAATCTCCACATATTTCGGCTTTTCCAGTTTTCTTCTTGTATTTGATTCCTAGTTTCATACCATTGTGGTCAGAAAAGATGCTTGATGTTATTTTAGTCTTCATAAATTTATTGAGACTTGTTTTGTGCCCTAATATATGATCTATCCTGAAGAATGTTCCGTGTGCATTAGAAAAGAATGTGTATTCTACAATTTTTGGATGGAATGGTCTGTATATATCTCCAAAGTCCATCTGGTCTAATGTGTCATTTAAGGCCAATATTCCCTTATTGATCTTCTGTTTGGGTGATCTATCCATTTATGTAAGTGGAGTGTTAAAGTCCCCTACTATTATTGAGTTACTGCCAATTTCTCCTTTTATGTCTGTTAACAGTTGCTTTATGTATTTAGGTGTTCCTATGTTGGGTACATAGATATTTACAAGTGTTATGTCCTCTTGTTCCCTTTATCATTTTGTAATGCTCTTCTTTGTTTCTTGTTACAGTTTCTATTTTAAAGTCTATTTTGTCTGATATAAGTATTGCTACTCCAGCTTTCTTTTCATTTCCATTTGCATGGGGTATCTTTTTCCATCCCTTCACTTTCAGTTTGTGAATGTCTTTAGGTCTGAAATGTGTCTCTTGTACGCAGCATCTATATGGGTCTTGTTTTTTTATCCATTCAGCCACCCTATGCCTTTTGATTGGATTCTATGTCTTTAATCAATTTACATTTAAAGTAGCTATTGATAAGTATGTACTTATTGCCATTTTATTTCTTCTTTTCTGGATGTTTTTGTAGTTCTCTGTTCCTTTCTTCTTCTCTTGCTCTCTTCTCTTGTGATTTGAAGGTTTTCTTTAGTATTATGTTTAAGTTACTTTCTCTTTATTTTTTGTGTATTTACCATAGGTTTCTGGTTTGTGATTCCCATGAGATTCATGTATAATGTCCTATATAAATAACAATCTATATTAAGTTTATGGTTTCTTAAGGTTGACCTCTTGTCAAAGCCCTACACTTTTACTCCCCCACCAACATTTTTTTGTTTTTGACATCATATTTTACCTCTTTTGTGTGTGTCCCTTAACCTCTTATCATGGAAATAGATATTTTTAGTGCTTTTGTCTTTTGACCTTCATTCTAGCTTTATAGGTGGTTGATCCACTATCTTTACTATATATTTGCCTTTATCAGTGATTTTTTTCTTTGATAATTTTCTTATTCCTATTTGTGTTTTTTTCTTTTCCACTTTATAAGTCCCTTTAACCTTTCTTTTAAGCCTGGTTTAGTGGTGATAAACTCCTTTAGTTTTTGCTTTTCTGGAAAAATCTTTATCTCCCCTTCCACTCTGAATGATAACTTTGCTGGTTTGAATATTCTTGGCTGTAGGTTTTCTCTTTTCAGCACTTTGAATATATCATGCCAATCCCTTCTAGCCTGTAAGGTTTCTACTGAGAAGTCAGCTGATAGCCTTACTTGGTTTCCTTTGTGTGTAACTTGTTGCTTTCCTCTTTCAAGTTTTAGGATTCTCTCTTTATCTTTAACTCTTGACATTTTAATTATAATGTGTTTTGGTGTGAGGCTCTTTGAGTTCATCTTGTTTGGTGCTCTCTGTGCTTCCTGTACCTGGATGTCTGTTTCCTTCCTCAGGTTAGGGAAGTTTTCAGCTATTATTTCTTCAAGTAGGTTCTCTGCCCTTTTGTTTCTCTCTTCTCCTTCTGAGAACCTATAATACAAATGTTAATATGCTTGATGTTGTCCAAGAGGTCCCTTAGATTATCCTTGTTCTTTTTAATTTTTTTTGCTTTTTCTGTTCAGTTCAGGTGATTTCCTCTACTCTTTCATCCAAATCATTGATCCATTCTTCTGTACCATCTACTCTGCTGTTGATTCCCTATAGTGAATTTTTCATTTCCATTATTGCATTCTTCAATTTTGATTGTTTCTTTTTTATATTTTCCAATTCTTTGGTGAAGTTTTCACAGTGTTCATCTATTCTTCTCTCTAGATCAGTAAGCTTCCTTTTGACTATTAGTTTGTACTCTTTATCAGGTAGATTGTTTATCTCTGTTTCATTTAGTTCTTTTTCTGAGGATTTGTCCTGTTTCCTTATGTGGAACATATTCCTTTGTCTCTTCATTTTTCCTGCTTCTTTGTGCTTGTATCTATGTATTAGGTAGATCAGCTACATCTCTCAATCTTGGAAATGTGGCCTTCTGTAAGAGATGCCTTATGGGGCCCAGCAGTGTGCTCCCCTCTTGTCACCTATGTCAAATGTTCCAGGAGTGTCCCCTGTGTGGGCCACATGTGCCCTTGTTTAGTGGCAGGGTTGCTATTGCTGCAGGTGCACAGGTAGGCTGGGTTGTCCCCCCAGCTGGCTGGTTATGAGGCCCAGAGATATTATGCTACACCCATGTTATACTATAGGCATGTTGTGGTGTGGGACAAGTCTATGGCATGTCTGTTTTTGAGGTCTGGTATGACACAACTACTGCAGTTTTATTGGTGAATGGTTCAGGTCCCCAGTGTGGCTCATTGCTAGGCCAGGTGCACACAACTGCTGCAGGCCCCTGGCATGGCTGGCTGCATGGCCATGATGCACTTGGCTGCCTCAGATGCATTGATGGGTGGGGCAGGCTTCCGATGAGGCTAGCTGCACAGCATGTAGCTGTTGCCAGCTTGCTCTTGGGTGAGGCAGGCCTCTGGCACAAACTGGCTACATGACTCTGGTGCATAGCTGCCTCAGGAGCACTGATGGGCAGGACAGGCACCAGGCATGGCAGCATGCAACCATTAAGGCATTGGTAGGTGAGCCAGATCCCCTCTGTGGCTGTTTTTGCTGCCCAGTGGTGTAAGTCTGCAGCAGGCTCACTGGTGGGTGAGACAGGTCCTGGGGCAGGCTACCTGTGCTGCCTGACTGTGATAGATTGCTTCTAGTGCTCTAGTGGGTGGGGCAGACCCCTGCCCTAACAGGTTAGATGAAGGATTCTAATGGCACCTGCCAGCATCTGTGTCAGCACAGCTGAACTAGGTCAAAATAATGGCTGCCACCAGTGTCTCAGCCCCTGGGGGATGGACCCAGCTGCCTCTTGTCTTTCTGGGATGCACTACAAGCTTAGTAAGTGAGTCTCTTTTTACCAATGGACTATGTACTTTTCTATTTAGTGTTTTTGTGCTGGTCTCTGTGTGCAGTGAGTCTGTGCACGGGCCCGTTAAGAGTAGGTTTTCCCTTCCCTGAA